ATAACCGCTAGGGCTTCTTGTTCAATAACCGAATATCTAGTTTCCACTTCCCTGAAAACTCTCGAAAAAAATATGATGGGTCTTTCCACACCATCCATTAAATGTAACAATGCACCTCCAACCCCCTTGTTGGATGCATCAACTGCCAATATGATCTCTAAATCATTATTAAAACATACCAAAATCGGTTCCTCACCAATTTTTCCTTTTAAAATATCAAAAGCATTTTTCTGTTCAATTTTCCACACAAAATGAACGTTTAAACCATACAATGGAGATGCCACTTTTGCAAAATCCTCCACAAAATGATGATAATAATTTACCATACCCAAAAATGATTGCAACTCCGCTTTATTGGTTGGCGGATTCATATTCGTTATATTTTTTAAATTTTTTTCCAGAGGTTTCACCTCCATTCCATTTATCCGATGTCCTAAGTAGATAACTTCCGTTACCCCAAGAACACTCTTTTCCTTGCTGGCCCTCAGACCCTTATCACGAATCCGCTTGAAAACCTCTTCCAAACGTTCATTATGTTGCTCTGGTGTTATACCAGTCACCAACACATCATCCATATAATAATAAACTCCTTCTAAGCCCTGGAAAACTAGTGCGCTGAAATATCGGCGCTGACACACTTAATCCAAACGGTAGCCTACAAAAGGCAAATAATCCTTTCGGAGTCGTTATTGTAAATAATTTATGAATTTCCTCTTTCAAAGGCAATTGCAAATAAGCCGAAGAAAAATCAACCTTGGAAAAATACTTGGCACCTTTTAAACTGGCCAAAATTTCCTCAATCCTAGGCAATGGATATTTTACCTCCACTACCCATCTATTTAAAATAACACGGAAATCAGCACATAGCCTTAACTTTCCATTCGATTTTCTAACAGGTACCAATGGTGTGGCCCACTCACTATATTCCACGGATAATGATGCCATCTCTAACCCATTGGTCCAATTCTTCATCGATTTCCTCAAAAGTAACTCTTCGAAGCCAAAAAGATGGGTGAAAACCCCTCTTTAAGTTTAACGTCTACTTGATAATCATTTAAACGTCCTAATTTTTCTTCAAAAATTCTACCATATTTTCTAACCAAAATAGGTATAGCCAGATCGATCTTTTTTAATCCATCGATTTCCATTTCCATAAATTGATCCCTATCAATTTTACCATTTATTTCGGTATGATCAGAACTGATCACTACCTTTTCGGGAGTTTCAATAAAATTATTATTAACGACAATCCTGTTTCCATCGTTCAATAATTTAGATATCCCTTCTTTCTGAAGTTCATTTCGGATATTATCCGCCATTAATTTTCTTTTAACATTATCACTAGCCAATTCGCTATCAATAATAAATAAATTCCAATAATTATTCTAGGGTCCAATTGTGGTAATCCAATCCCACCCCATAATAGTTTCCACGGCTTTTCCTACTATCCATAAATCTAAACTTATGATAGTATCATTAAAAGCCCCATACCATTGAGTTTTACCTAAAACCTCAATTTCAGAACCATCGAACTGTTTTAAACACATATTTTCCTTAATAATCACGCCATTAGGCCAATATTTATAAAAATTTTCACAAGACATTATCGAAATGCTGAAACCAGTGTCAAATAGCATATCAATATACCTGCAGTCAATTCGCAAGTTAACCCTAGGACATTGACTCAGTCTATTTCTTCCATCAGTCCTTAAAATTTCACAAGTTTTAAGGGGCTGATAGCTATATATTCCCTCTGAAATATGCATTTCATTAGAATTTAAATTTCCTCCTAAATTCAACTCGGAATTTCGAGGCTTTTTACTAATATAACTATATTTTTTAATAATATCCCGAGGATATTTCTTCCATTTAAAATTATCAACATTTTTTCTATTTGTATATTTCACAATGCTCCCAGAAAATTTTTCCCATTTAAAAGCATTATTTTTCATTATATTCACATTAAAACTATAATCAACCGTTTTAACTTTATCTTCATGATAACAAACATTTTCATTAAAACCATTAAAATTATGAGAATCCCATCTCTTTTTACTATTATAGTATACTTTCTTAAAATTTTTATTTCCCTGTATTCTAACACTATATGATTACATTTGCTATCATATAGTCAGTGTAAATCACAATTTATAGCTATATGTCCCGTCTCTTTACATTTAAAACATATACGAGACCCATCCAAATTCAATTTCAACGAATCAACTTTATTTACATCTAGGCCTTAAATCTTCCTTACATTGGAATTTTCTCCACTAGATCTTTGCAATGGAAAACCCATTCTAAAATTCTGTTCCTTTACAACACAGGTTTTAGAATAATGACCCTTGTAACCACACCGATTACAAATTATGTCAGCAATAATCTTTGGAAAACTCTTTCCATTCGAAATAATTCTATCACCGAATTGCTTCTTATCCCCTTGATTATTCATACTAATCAACCTGGATACATCACTATAAATATCTTTAATAGATTCTTTTATATATTTTAATTCCTGGAGGATAACCACTGACCTCTCCACAAATTCCAAACGATCATCGTTATTATCTTTCATCGTTTCAACCATTCCTGGTTTGTCGTTCTTGATTTCATTTAAAATTCCATTTAAACTACTTTCCAAGTCCGAAATTCTCTTAAAACAATTAACCGACACCAGAGTGTCCTTTTTCCAATTACCATATACCTTGGTCGCAACTAAAGTACATTTTCCACATAAAAATTTCAAAAGTATATATATTAAATATAAAATTATTATTAATCCTAATGTAACTAAGTGATGACCTATATCCAATTCATTAAGGTTCTGATACGATTTTATAACCCATATCCTTAAAGATGGCAATTTTATTAATAAAAGTAGGCTCAGAATTTATCAAAATACACAACCATCGCATATTACAAAACAAAATATTTTTCAAACTATTTTGTTAATTAAAATTCAAAAATTTAAACAACAAAAACGTTATTATTGCGTTGTGTCCTAAGGTAACATATAATATGTAAAATACAAATGAGTTTTTTTTTTACCTTAAAATAATGAATACCCTTGAATTTCCAGGTTCGAATCCTGGGAGAACGGTCAACACTTTTTAAGTGTATTCTTGATATCCATGTTGATATTGAATTGTATAAAACGATAGAATAAGTATAAAAAAAATAATATTTAAATTATTCAAAATTTCTTTATTTTTTATAAAAATTATCCCAAAAATACATAATGATTCAAATTCATAACAAAAAAAAGAATGAATCAAAATCCATAAAAATTGTATTTTAAAAAAAATATATTATTATATTAATTATTATTTTTTTTACATTAAATAATAATAATTTTTTTCTCCAATCAGATGTCTACAATCCATCTGATTGACATTTGAGGCTTATATATATATATATATTTTATACATATTAGAACACTTTTATATATATCTTTTCTTCTGATTGCATTTTGACGGTTAATGTATCAAATTGGTATTTTGTTATTTTTTAGTTGGACAGGCACTGCCAAAAATTTATAGTATATATTTAATCGTCTGTGGCCAAGTCCATAAGAGCGAATCTTGCCAATTCGATGATATTGTGTTCCAATCCCAGCAGGGATCATTTTTTTTCTGAAGATAAATTGGTGGTTAAGTCCTTGAGGTGATGATATATAGGAGATCGGGCTCATCAACATGATTCCATTTCACTGTGGTAATAAAAAAAATTTAAACTCTACCCGTCCGCTCACGAAAGACAATATCTCTCGTCACCTCTGAAAATTCACAGTGTTTTTAATTTTTCAAGAATTTATTGCAATACTTTTACGCTTTTTTGAATTTATTTTATTATCATTTATAATTCTCTAATTCCATATTAATAACACAAAATAATTATAATTTATAAATCAAAATATTTAATTAGAAAAAGAAAAATGTACATGTTTTTTTATTTCATAAGTGTTAGCCTTTCCTCTAGTAGAAAATAACTTTTCACTTGCCTGGATTGACAAAACTTTTTGCTAATCTCAAAAAAGGAAATAAATTTTTCTGCTTCCAAAACTTCAAAATATTCTCATTGTTATTTGTTTCATGAAAGATAAATCTGATCCTCACAACTTTTATCGGTAGATGTTGATGCTTCATCTGAATCATGTAGAAATTCTTAAAATATTTCATTTAGAATATACAATTTTTTATGTGTGCAGAATGAATTAAAAAAGTTATAAATGATAGTTGGCATCGACTTATGCATATCATCTAATTTTATATTATTTCACACTTTTAAGTTTGTTTTATATATATCTTCCTTTTCTTCATCTATTAAAAACTTAAGACTTAAATTCGGGTCTAGAAAGTTTACCTTATGTAGTAGCTGCATAATAAAATTTTTCTATTAAATGAAATGTTGTTCTATTTTTTAGAGTTTTGATTTTGTAACACATTCAAAAGGTTGACAAAATTTTGCTAATTTTTGTTTCCATTGATAAACTTTTATTGTGGAGCGAAAATCTGCGCAGATTATCCGAGAATTCTTTGAATATTGATAAATATTAAAGTAAAGATATATGAAAAAATATTTAAATTAATTTATTTATTACCAAATTTCCATTGCTGAACTAGAGTTGAGAGATTTATAATTGATCATAATTTTATAAGACTAAAAATAAATGTTGCTTAAAAATGTGGAAGTTTTTTTGTTTTCAAAAATTATTCTTTTTTTAAAAGAACTAAATCAAATAATAAAATATCTATATTATAATTCCCCGGTGTCCTCGATACGTCATTTCTGACGTCATGTTATCGGTACATAGGTACGTATTTATTTATTTTTATTTAAAAATAGCAAAAATTAAAAATAAATACGTTATAAATATCAAATAAACTAATAAAATATATAAATATTTTATAATTAAATTACAATGTTATTCAGATTTAAAGTAAAATATAATATTCAAGTAAAATTAGAACTAATGGGTCACACGTGAAATTTTAATTACGATGTGCAGATTTGAAGTAAATCATATATATGTATTTTAGATATCTATTAAAAAGACACAACTAATGGTGACTCCTTTAGGGGGTTCATTATTATTTTTTAAATTTTTCTTTTGTTTTTATTTTAGAAAACAGACACTGCCTTAACCACTCTTGGTGATTGTACAAATTTGATTTATCTGTCATTGCTAAACAAAGAAAGTGTGTTGGTTAATCAACAAAATAAACGTTTCAAAGATCACGAAATCCAACAAATTCTACCAACCATACATAAAGTTAGTCATCTATATATATATACTAAAAATGTATAAATGTTTATTTAATTTATAATTTTTTTTTATTTTTTAAACATGCTTTTCATCTTATACTTTCTTACATTTAATATTATGATAATTACAGGGAAGGCAGATAACAAGATATTAAATTTTTTATAATCAAAATTATATCTGTATTTTACAATTTTCTATTCTATATATATATTCAGCGTCTACATGGCCGGTGGGGGGGGGGGGGGGTAGGAGACAAATGCCTCCAAAATATATTAGCATTTTTGGGGGTAGGTATCGATTTTAAGGGGTTGATATTAATTTTTTGGGGGTAGGCATTATTTTTTTGGGGGTAGGTATTGATTTTTGGTGGGTAATTTTTGATTTGAATTATAATCTTTTTTTAATCCATTAATTGATACGATTATGATGGTTATCGTTTGATTTTCTGAAAAATGTCAATTAAAGTAAAGATATTTGTCAATTAATAAATAATATAAATTTTCTTTGTCAACGATTTTCATTTAGCATTTTATCAAGTTAATATTTACACATTTCCTATTTGGTACTTTTCTTAGAGGTTAATATATTTATATTATGTTTTTTAATAAATTTATAGATTTTAGCAGGATAAATTTTAGGTAATTTTTGAGTCATGCATAAAAACATATATCAGCAAGCAAAGAATAATAAAAAACATAATATGTAAAAAATTATATTATAATAATTATTTCTTTCTAGATGCCAAGTAACAAAACCATATTTAAAGTTAAGTGCAATATTAAAAATTGCAAAACTTCTAAAATAAGAAGTGACAAGATACATGAACATTATAAACATAAACATCCTCATGTCAAGCCAGCTGATATGAAATTTACAAAGGAAGCCATCAAAAGAGATAATAATAATTGGGTATCTTTAAATTGTGATATTCCATATAATATCACAAATGGAGTTGAAACCCAGTTGCAAAAAAAGACAATAACATCTTACTTCCAAAAAGTAATATTTTTATTTATTATTGTAACTATAAATTTGTGAATTAATAGAAACTGATTTAAAATTTTACCAGAATAATATTAATATTAAAGTAGTCAGGGTATAGAGAAAATAAATTATATATATTATTATTTAATGTTTTTTAACTGTTTATCACACTATTTTTATATCTATATATACTTTATAAAGTTCAATTTAACAATATGTTTAATAAGTTAATAATAATAATTTAAAACCAAAGTATTAAAAAAACTTATTAAGTTAATATAATGTAGTAAAATAAGGTAATGTTAATTTCTAGGAATTTTTAAATTTAAATCTTTTCATCTTTAATTGAATTAAGACTTCAAATTCTTTTACTTTTTTTAAATATAAATCTTATAAAATATGATTTGGAATCAACTATTTTCAAAATGTTATCTGTGTGAGTTTCATCCCCTTTAATTAGGTGTGTTTATTATCATTGTTTTATTTAGCTATTAGAATTTCTTTAGATAATATACTTTCATCATGAATTTCACAATTTTATTTATACTTAATATTGTTTTTATTTTTATAGTCATTATAATATTGTTTTATGATTTCTTCATGTGATCGCAGTTTTATATTAATCTGCATCTATCATGCCTATGAATCTTTCAAATATATTTTAAAAATGTTTTTACATGATCTAACAAAGTCATATTGATGTTTATGATTATTGCGTTCAAAATATGTGAATTCCCTTTGTATTCTACATTCACTTATGCTTTACCTATTACTTGTATCATCTTTCCATTGTAACCTGATAACTTTATGTTGGACTTCATAATATTTTTAATACCTGTTTTCTCAATCATGTATTCATGTAGAATTAAAACATTTATTAAAAACTTAATTATAATGTAGTTAAAAAAAATTATCATTTGCCTAAAAATTTATTAAAAATATAGTTATCATAAGGAAAGAAATTAAACTCCTCTTTATTTATAGAAAATCTCAGTTTTTGAAGATTCACAAATTGTATTATCTCCTCATCCAATCCCCAGTTCCAGTGAGGTGTTTACTTTGTATGATGAGGTATTTAATTTAAATACGAATTATATGATAACTTTTGAAAGAAATAAATTATGATTATGAGGTTAATTAAATATTTCCAACCTTTATTAAAAACTTAATTATAATGTAGTTAAGAATAAAATGACCATTTGACTAAAATTTTATTAAAAATATAGTTTTTCATAAGAAACAAATTATACTCTTTATAGCAAATCTCCAATATTGAAGATTCACAAATTGTATTATCTTCTCATCCAATCCCCAGTTCCAGTGAGGCGCTTACTTTGCATGATGAGGTATTTAATTTAAATACGAATTATATGATAACTTTTGAAGAAAATAAATTAGGACATTTAAATATTTCCAACATTTATTGATTAACTTAATTATAATGTAGCTAAGAATAAAATGACCATTTGGCTGAAATTATATTAAAAATAGATTTTCATAAGTAAACAAATTATACTCTTTATTTATAGCAAATCTCCAATATTGAAGATTCACAAATTGTATTATCTCCTCATCCAATCCCCGGTTCTAGTGAGGCACTTACTTTGCATGAGGCATTATATTTAAATAAAATTTATATAATGACTTTTGAAGGGAATAAATTATGAGGATATTCAAAGTCCAAGTCTTATTCAGCTATACAAAAAAAAGGAACCAAATGACCCTTTTCACTTTATATTATTTAGGATGACAAATATTTTAATAAATTTCATAATTGCTGTAGGCCCTTGTCAGCCATGTACAAATAAATTTCAATATCCTGTTACTAACAGGTTTTAAATAATATTTATTTTCATTAATTTTTACCCATCCATTATTTCTATACCAATATATTTTTTTTTACTTTTTAAACAAGAGCATTAATATAACCTATTATAGAAAGGTTAATATAGATGGTTCCCTCAACCCCAGAAATTGGCTATCTTATAGCACTACTTTAGACAAAGTCTTTTGTCTATATTGTATTATGTTTGGTGGCCCTAAGTCCAATACTTTTTGGACTCAACATGGGGTAAATAATTGGAAAAACATAAAGCGTGACTTAGAGAGACACGAAGCATCTTCTCTTCATAAAGATTGTGAATATGCAAACATGACTTGGCTTGCAAATAAACGCATTCAAGATCATTTGCTATCAAATAAGCTTGATATAATCATGGAAAATCGTAATATAGTTCATAATATTATCAATGCCATTATGTACCTTATAAAATGTAATATAGCCTTTTGGGGTTCTAATTCGAATGAAGGTAATTTTATGTGTCTCATAAAATTAATGGCAAAAACGGTTCCAACTTTACGTGCATACATGGATAACAACGAAAAATTGCGGAGAAAAAATCAGATAAAATTTCGAGACCTTATATAAATTTACTGTCATATGGCCACGTGAAAAAAATAACTGAAATTATTAAGATAAAAATAACAAAAAGCATTATTCAAACAAATAAAGAGAATCGTGCCTATAGCATCATATTAGATGGAACATATGATGTGTCTAAAAAAGAATGCATAGCTTTGCTTGTACGGTATATAGAAGATGATCTGCATCCACATCCTGTAGAAAGGATCATACATGTTTTTACAACATCAGAAACCACTGGGGAAAATATAAAGAAACATGTTTTTTCTAAGTTTAATGATCTTGGTCTTCCTCTTGATTATTTGGTTGGACAAAGTATGGATGGTGCAGGGAATATGAGAGGAGTATACAAAGGAATGCAGGCTTTAATATTGAAAGAGGCTCCAAAAGCCATCTATATTTGGTGCCATGCACATCGGCTAAATTTAGTAGTTGCTCATGTTTGTGGATGCAAAATTGAAATGAAAAAGGCAATGGGAATATTAGATGAGTTATATAATTTTATGAATGGAGTTAGACGTCAAGGTGTGTTTGTTAAATATCAAATGAGAAAGTCCAAGAAATCTCTTAAAAGAATTAAAAACACAACAAGGTAAATAAAATATTTTTAATGAAACTTGAAACTTATATATTTTCAGAAATTGGTCATCATCCTACAAATCTGTAGAAATCTTTTTAGATGTTTATGAACATATTTTAGCATCATTAGTTGAATTAAAAGATTCTAATGACCCAAGCACCTCTTCCATTGCCGATGGGTTATTATCAAGAATTAAAGATGAAAATTTTATATTAAGTCTTTTTATTTTGAAAGAAATATTGAAATGTACACATGAGGCTTGTATTGAAATGCAGGCAGTTGGTAATGATTTGGCTTTGGTAACCAAATTAATACAACATACAAAAAATAAATTACAAAAACTAAAAGGTAAATATTAGTTACTATTTCTATAAATAATTTTAAAATATAGCTAATGGAGACAGTTTATTTTTAAAATTACATTCCTTATCTAATAGTTTTTTGAAAAAGAATAATGTAATAACTGATTTGTATAATATGAAATCAATATTCAAATTGGATCAAACAGAATTCAATAATTATGTTGAACAAAAAAAAAACAAGTTGAATAAATTAAAAAAATTTAAATTATTATTTATTATTATAGATATAGAACGGAAATATTTTTCCCTGTTCTAAATGCAATAATTAATCACCTAAATGATCGATTTAATTATGATTGTTTAAATTTTTTATCACAGATATCCATTTTTACTCCCGCTGGAATTATGGATAATGAAAAAATAGAAGGATGGCAAATATCCGAAATTTGTAATACTTATCAATTAGATGTCCAAAACATTGTTGATGAATATAATGATTTTCGCTCTTTATATTTGGAGTCTCAATCAATCATTTTTTGCGAAGATCTTTTAAAAGTTAAAAAGAATGACGCGGTATATATTGATGAAAGTAATTTATTGATATTTTATTTGTAATTGTATATAATTAAAGGTATTGCAAACGATCAAATTACCAAAGAAAATATCAACAGCGAAATCATGACCAAAATAAAAAAATGGATAAAATTTTCTTTTATATTACCATACCGACTTTTAAATCAATTAAATTCTTATTCAAATTTAAATTTATTATATAAATATTTATTAACCCTTCCTAAAACTTCCTGTTCAGCCGAAAGAGCCATGAGTAAAGTAAAAATTAACAAAACTCGAATGCGGAATAAAATTTCGGACCCATTTTTGGAAAATTTACTGTTAATATCCAGCGAAATTGATGTTTTTGAAAAATTTACAATTGATGATATTATAACACAATTTGCTTTAACATCAATAAGGTTATCCAAATTATTAATAAAATAATTAATGTATCTTTTTCACAGCGAATATATAGGCTTTTAAATAATGTATATTTAATTTAACATTTTATAATTTCAATGCAAAATATACTATAATTCATTTTATTCTAATATTTTATATAATAGCTCTATTTACAATACATGTTTTTAATTATGTGGAATCAAGCTAAATATACCTCTTTAAATTTATTCGTCTTATATTTTTTACAATATTTTAGATCTTTTTCATAGAAATATTAATATGTTATCTCATTTAATTCACTTATATATATTTTATGAAAATAAAGTGAATACCAAATTATGAAAAGATTGCATTATTTAAATAAAAGTTCATTATCACTTACAAATTTTTAAATTTTTTTTCCCTAAATAGGCTTGAAAGATTGTAAATAGAATTATGTTGTAAGGTTATAAATGGTGGCAGATAAGATTTTTTAAATAAAATCACTATACCATCGTAGGTCTGTAAATTTCGCGGCCGAAGGCCGCAGGATTTTTTTAGGTGGGTATGGGTAGATTTTGGAGGGGTTTGCCTCCATCAAATTTTCTGCCATGTAGACGCTGTATATATTATTTATTTTATAATTATTTACATATACAAATTTAAAAAGAATTTATTTTAAGATTAAAGAAAAAGAATTTAAAAGAAAATTTAACAAATTAATAAAATCTTAAGGTTAAACACTTTACAAAATTTAAAGATTAAACAATTTATAAAATTTATATTCAAATAATCTTTAATTTTATATTTAACATATTACATCTGTTTTAGCTTTACGAATATCTGATGATATTCCCACAATTGTTACAGAGTCATACCTAATATTGACTCCTCTGCAGGTTCAGTGTATTATTATTTTATAAATTTTATATTTTGTTTTTATTTTAGAAAACAGGCCCTGTCTTAACCCCTTTTATTGATCGTACAAATTTTGATTTATCTGGCGTTGCAAACAAAGAAAGAGACGGCAAGTTGATCAACAATATAAAACGTTCCATAAATCACGAAATCCAACAAATTCTGTCAACCATTCAAATAACGTTAGTCACTTCTCTTTTTTCCTTTCCCTTTTCCTTCTCATTTTTATTTCCCTTATCCTTCCCTTTTCCTTTTTCTTTTCCATTTCGCCTTACATTTACCTTTATCTTTTCTATATCATTTCCCCTTTTCTTTCCCTCCCCCCCCTTCTTTCCCTTATCCGTTGTCCGTTCTTTTTCTTTCCCTTCTCTCAATTTTTTTTCCTCCTTTTGCCTTATCCTTTTCTTTCCCCTTCCATTTTCTTTCCCTTTTACATTTCCTATCCATCCTCTTTTCCTTTTCCCTTTCCTTTGCCGCTTTCTTTCCCTATTCCTTTTTTTTTACCTATTCCATTTTTCGCTTTTTCTTTCCCTTTTTCTTTATTTTATTTTTCTTTCTCTTTTCCTTACCCCTTTTCTTTACCTTTTCCTTTCCATTTCCCTTTTTCTTTTCATTCTCCTTCTCCTTGCCCTTTTTCTTCTCCCACTTTCCTTTTTCTTCTGCCTGTTCTTTCCCTCTTTCTTTTCCTTTTCTTTTTTCTTTTTTTTCTTTTCCATTACCTTTTTCTTACCCTTTTCCCTTACCTTTTCATTAGCGTTTCCCCTCTTTCTTTTTTTAAAATTTCCTTTCCATATTCCTTTTTCTTTCTATTTTTTTCCTTTCTTTTTCTCTTTTTCCTTTTTACTTCTCTTTTCCTCTCAATATTTCTTTCAATTTTTCTTTTCCCCCTTTCCTTTTTCCTTTCTCTTTCCTTTTTCTTTTCCTTCTTTAGCTTTCTTCTCCTTCTTCTTTAGCTTTCTTCTTTTCTTTCCATTTCCCTTTCTTTCCCGTTTGCTTCCTTTCTTTACCGTTTTCTTTTCATCATCCTTTTTCTTTTCCTTCCTCTTTTTTTTTTCCTTTCCTCTTTTTTCCCCCTTTCCCCTTTTCTTTCCCTTTCCCCTTTTCCCATTTAATTTCTTTTCCATACTTTTTCTTTCACTTTTCCCTTTCCCCTTCCCTTTTAATTTTTCTTTTTACCTACTCCCTTCTTCTCTTTTTCTTTCCTTACTTCTTTCTCTTTTTCTTTCCTTACTTCTTTCTCTTTTAATTTCTCTCATCTTTCTTCTTTCCCTTTCATTACCCTTTTTCTTTCTTTCCCTTTCCCCCTTTTCCCCTTTCCTGTCTTCCCTTTTTAATTGTTCTTATTTCCCTCATTTTTAGCTATTTTTAAAAACTTCAAATTTAAATACAAGAATTTACTTCTATAGCATCTATTAAAATTAATTTCAAATTTACTTGAAAAATTTCCTAGGATATATAAGCAAAATTCCCAATTTTTTTTATCTTCAGGTATTTTTATTTTAGCGATTTAGAATGAAAACGCTTTTTCGGCCCTTCTTCTCTTTCGCTTTTTTTCCCCTTTCTATTTTTCTTTCCCTTACACCTTTTCTTTCCCTTACACCTTTTCTTTCCCTTTCGTTTTTTCTTTCCTTTCCTACTTTTCCTTTCTCTTTCCCCTTACCTCCCCTTTCTCTTTTCTCTTTCATCTACCTTTTCTTTGCTTTCTCATTTCCATCTTTTTCCGTTTCTTTTACATTTTTATTCTATACTCCTTTCCAATTTCCTTTTCTTTTACATTTTTCTTTCGTTCCCTTTTTCTATTCATTTATCTTCCTTTCCCCAAATACATAGTACTTTATTTTTATTATTTAAATAAAATTATATATCATATCTATTCTTAAGAATCCTAACTTTTTAAAACTTGCCATTTCGTTGGATCTACCATTATTCCCACTACTTACTCAGTATCACTATATCTATATTTTAATTTTCCGATGTCCTTACTAAGTCATGTCATAGGTACGTATTTATTTATTTTGATTTAAAAATATCAAAATATAAATACAAATACAAATATAAATAGATACTTTATTTAAAAATATCAAAAATATAATAATAATAAATATTTTCCTTAAATTATTCTATTATAAATTCAACTCAACAGTATTCAAGTAAATTCAATTATATATATATATATGATTTTCAGTTCTCCAACCTATCCTCATAAAGTATGCGCAATTTTTCTTCAAATCATTCTACTCTAAATTTAACTTAACAGTATTCAAGTAAATTCAATTTTAATGGGTCACATGAAATTTTAATTACAATGTATTGCAGATTTGAAGAGAAATATAATATTCATGTAAAATTAGAACTAATGTGTCTCACATGAAATTTTAAATATAAGTAAATTATATTATATAAAAGTAAATTATATATATGTATTTTAGATAATTAGAAAGACACATCTAATAGTGACTCCTCTGGGGATTTGTTTCATTTTTATTTTTTTAATTTTTCTTTTGTTTTTTTTTAGATAGCAGTCCCTGTCTTAACCTCTCTTAATTATAGTACAGATGCGGATTTATCTGTCATTACAGAGATCGTGAAACCCAACAATACAAATTAAAGTTAGTCATCTATATATAGTAAAAATGCATAAATGTCCTTCTTATACTTTCTTACACATTAGATTACATCAATTTTAGCTACTGATTATTGCTGTTGTGCCGTTTCTATGGTGAATATTACTCCCCGAAAATAATCCCAATAATACTACAAACATTTTATTAATTATATTTTAAATTTTTAAAACAGAAAAAAAAACGAATGAATATATTATAATTTTGTTTCCCTTTTATAGGTAAGCTAAAAAATATTTTTTTTTAAAATATAAAAATCATAATCATGCTGAAAATCGCGATTATATCAAATAAAAATGACTCAAAAATCGCAATCATAATGGCTTTAAAAAAACAAAATTCACAAATCTAAAAAAATGTTAACGCTATAAAACTAAAAATAAAATTATATACTATCACAACAATGCTCTCTCTTGCAGAACCCCGACACCACATATAGCCCCATTGATTCTTCTTACTCATTCAAACCCATCGCTTGCTCTACTCTTGCCACTTTTGCAACAAAGCTCAAAGGTTTTTTAAGGGAGACTAATTTCAGAAAATACTGATCAGCCTATGGAATCTCTTTTTTTACGACAAAGGCTTGCTACCGCTATGATTCGTTCCAACTACCTAAGTATTTCTTTCATCAAATAATCTTACATGCCTCTTTATGCTTTATTTCCTCCTTCTTCCTAGTTTCTATTTACTATCTACTTTTTTAGATATCTTCTTTTAAATCTTTATCCTTTTGTTCTCCTTAATTACAATTTTATATTTATATCAGTTAGATATATTATATCTTTCCTTTTTTATAATATATTCTTTTAGTTATAAAGAAACTTGAACGGGGGAAAAAAATCGTAATTTATTTTAAAATTTTATAAAATTAATAAAGATTTTTGGCTTTAAAATAAAAAATATAATTTTGATTTTTTTTTTTTTTATATTAAACTGTATTTTATTTTTTGATTTTCATTAAAATTACAGAGGATTAAAAAATATATATTAAAATGGATATATTAAAAATTAAATATAAAAAAAAAGAAATATATATTTTAAATTACATTAGAAATTTAATCTAGCTATTGACCCATTATTTAGAATGTCTGGATGAGATAAATATTATAAACGAAATACAGTGCTGGAAGAAGATATAGGCTGTTTATTTCTTTCCCAAAATTTTTAAAATAAAGGTAACTTTCTATAAATTTATAAAATTATTTGAATATTTTTAATAAGATTTACTTTCAAAATTTGTAAAATTCAGAGTTTTTATAGGATCGCAATCTAAGGATAGAAGCTGAACTCTATTTTCATTTTAGCAAATTGTCTGGATCGTCGATGCTTAAAAAAATGAGGATCGTGATGGTAATACTTTTACTATTGATCAATTTTTCGATCCTAAATTTATCTTTTACTTAAACTTATGTGGATAAATATATTTAATAATATATTTTTTTTATAATTAAATATGAACAAATTTAATTGAAATCGTATGAATTTAAAAAATACCATAACGTTTAAATGTAAATGCACATCAGCTGATAACACACCATTTCTGGTTTCCTGTATGAAGTCTAGGTAAGAAATATATTATATATTGTTGGGTCCACCTGACCATAATTTCAAAATTTTTACTGCCCCTGCTTTTTTATATTTAACTTTATTGCAATCTAAATCTAATCAAATCATAATCACATTCATATCGATTTTAGGGAGAAAAATATCTTGTTATATGTATATTTTAATCGGTTATATAAGAAATCGTTTACAAGCTTATTAAAACGATATTCTTATTAT